GCAGATCAGACACCTTTATGTGCTGCCTGTCCTGAAATCCTAGTCGTGACCGCAGCGAGCCTGGGCTGGGGCAGGGACCCCTGTGTAATGCAGCTGTAGGCGTTTCCCACTTCTGCTCATATATAGCACGTCAAATGGGTCCCATGGATCCCATTCATGCTTGTCTCCTAGAGGTGCTTTCCACCCGTGGTCTCCCTACCGTGTGTCCTATTCTGACGTATGGAAAAAACCCCTGACAGAAATATGAGACTCCCTTTGGGGCTTTGTGCTTCTTTCTCCCTTTCTGTCTACCACAGTCACTCTTGGTCTTGAGTTACTAACTTTCTGGGTTTGTTTGGTGTTTGTATAGCTCCTAGCGTAACAGGTAGGATTCTCAGGAGCTACAAATAACAGCCACTGACTTCCATGGGGTAGGCTAGTACTTGAAAGGGATATCTGGGGGCCATAGATCCTCTTTAATAACTAGACAAAGCTGGAAGAAGTGCTGAGCATTTCAGCTATAACCACAGAAGCCATTTCTCTTGGTAACCTTTACATTCCCTGCAAGTGTTCATAGGTGGGATGCATAGGGATGCAGCACCGCTGCTAATAGAAAAATGAACCCATTTGGTAAGCCTTACTGAGATGTCAGAGTACTTTGAATTTTGAGCTGAAATAAACAGATTGAAATGACCCCATAGTTTATAATGCAATGGTAAAACACAGTAGGACTTTACAACTGAGGCCCCGGTGTCAGAACTTAATTTGATTTTCTCTGATGACTCAACCTATTTCACAAGCTATTTTCATATTCCTTATATAGGGAACTTACTCATGTCTCGGTAAAAGCCTACGATGCGATAAAGCCAAGGAACTGTAATGTGTGGTACTGGTAACACCTCCCACGCCAAAAAAAATTCTACTTCCATATTTATGTGGCTTTGCGAATTGGTTCCTGCCTTTTTCTCCCCAGAGAGTGAGCTGGCAGCATGTCTCCTCTCCAATTAACATGAAGCTGTGAAAAGTAGAGATGGAGGGTCAAATTCACCGTGCCTGGAGCCTCACTTTTGCCACGTTACAGGCACATTTGGACTTTTGACTTCCTGGCAAGGCAAGTGTTGTTTTTAGCATACAAATAACAACGCTTGCAGAATACCTTGTTCATTCACACTTTGTCTCCTGAAAAAAGCAGCTCGCCACCAGAAGGCAAGAAGAGCTACCTACCTTGTGTTGCTCAGGGACAAGGGATGGATACCACAGTATAAACTCCCCATGGAGCAGGTGAATTTTACCTGGGTTTTACTGGTCAGGATGTAATTTCTGCCTTTTGGAAAGTCCTTTAATCAGAGAAGCAGGAGAAGCCTTTGTAACTAGCACAGGCTGCACATCGCACCAGCAAGTGTATGGACTAAAAGAACACATAGGGACACTTAAGGACAACACCCACACATCCACCCCCACCACAGATCCCTTCACAATCTGATTTGCAACCATGTAAAGACATGTATTTTTTGTGGCAGTTTTTTGAAGAGTTTGTCTGTCTTGGAGGCAGAAATGAAAGGCAGCCTGTGCAAAGCAGAGATGGGCTGAGCAACAGCACTCACACTTGCAACATGACTGCTCTTTGCACGCCTAAAAGCAAGAGACCAAAAGCTATGTGACACAAGCCCTCTTCAGTCCCACACCAGGATCTGAAACAGCTCCTGAGTGACACCAAGGAGTCCAGGACATAAGAGTACACCATCAGGAGTGTCAATGGAGATAGATGTTCGTGTCCCAGGGCAGTCCTGAACCAGCACTTCCATGGGCAGCAGAACCTGCAAAATCCCCTTTCTGTGACATTTCCTCTCATCTTCTTTGGATTCAGGCATCATAAGGGATAAGCTCTAATCAAAGTTTTGCCTAAGGGCAAAAGATCTTTCCCTCACTTGCATTTTCTGATGTCTGAAAGCATCCTGCTTTCCCCTTGCTGTTACAGCTGCGTAGGTCTCTACTTTCCATCAGAACTTTGGTTTTGAGATCCCTACTCCTCCACCAAGCTTAGCTGGCAGATGGACACAGGCACATTGAACCAGCCAGTTCAGCCCCCATCACTGTCAACCCCCATCCTTCAGCTCTGACAGTACCCACAGGTTCAAACTCACACATCTCATCTCCTAGCTAGGTGCCATCGTGATTTGTCACCCTTACCTTCACACGTTGGTGCTTGGGTCCTCAGCTCTTCCTTGCCCGCAGGAGCAGCATGGCCAGGGAGGGAGGAGAGCACCTACTCTCACCTCAGAACCTTGCAATCAGATGGCTGTGATATCCCCTCAGAAAGGTGGGATCTGAGCTGGTGGCAGAGGTCTTACGTTAGCACTGAAACAGCAAAGCAGGCACGGGCCCAAGCATGGGAGCTCATCCCTCTGGGAGGCAGCATTTACATCCTGCTTTGCCCTGGATGCTGGGGCTTCCTTCAGCCTGCAGGGAGGAGAAGCAGGTTGGAACCAGCCAAGCAGAGGGGAATGGTGCCCAGGGCAGCAGCACAAACCTCAGGCTTCTGTGCCCAGGTGTGACAACAAACCCCTTTACAGGCTCCCACAGGGCTCTGGCCCTCCATCCTTGCTGAATCTCAGCTCAGTGTCTCCCCCAGCCAACAGTATCCACCAACACTCTGTGCTAAAGCCCAGGATCAGAGCTCCTCTCCAAAACCAGAGCAGCTGCCTTCCCTCTCTGCTAAATACCTGGCTCCTCTGCCTGGCCTGTGATCTTTTTCCAGCTGCTGTAGTCAAATCTGCCAAGGCCAGCAGTCCCTGCGTTAACCCCTTCAGCCCATTGCCTTGCGCTTTGCGGGTTCCCGTGGCAAACATCATCGGCTCTGCAGAGGTTTCAGCTTCTTCATCCTTGAGAAACAAAGCTGGTCATTCCCCCAGTTTTATGCTGTTTTAATGAGACTTGTTGGCTGCTCTATTTCTGTCAATGTTGTAGGTCTCTGTGGTCAGGATGTGGCCCCTCTTGCTAAGCCTACCAGCCTTTCTGCTTGGAGGAGCTTGTGGGGGCTGAGATGCCTTTTTACTGCAACCGGCCATGGGTTTCCAGAGAGCACTTTCCAGAGCAATCAGATTTCTTAGCAAATTAATTGTTCTGCTCTTATTAGATCACCTGCCTCACCTCCCCAGCTGCTGGTTCCCATGTTCAGGCTTCTCAGACTACAGGCAGGGCTGCTGCCATGCCCCCTTGACACAGGGAAGAAATCTAAGGCTCATCTCCAAGGTCAACTTTTCACATGTCTCACCTGTAACTTTGTAAGAAGTTACAAATGGGTGAACCCCACAGGGCATAGATGCTTTGTAGTCAGACATCTACCATGAATTTTTCAACTCAATAACTTGGAAATGCAGATAAGTATGCAGCAGTGATGAGCCAGAAAGAGCCCCAAAACTTTCAGCTGAAAAGGTGTATAAAAAGGCTCAGAGATGTCAGCACCTCAAATTATTTTTTTTTTCATTAAAAAAGTGAAAAAATTAGCATTCCCCATATACCCTGGTCCTTGGTGTGACACTTGCAGGTGGCCCATGGCACCCTCCTGTCACGCCAGGGACCAGGGCATGCAGCATCCCATGGCACATGCTCAGGAAGGAAGTGGGGGCCATGCCTAGTTCAGATTTTCATCTTCAGCAAGATGGCAAATCTTATACAAAACACACATGAATAAAAACAAAAGTGCCTGCCTGGCTGCTGGGAAGTGACACCACCATGACTCATGTCATTTGGTTTAAAATAATCCTCCCCCTCACCTTCTCCCCTGCATAGAGATGTACCTTGGAGGCTTACAGCACAGAACCCAGTGATGCTTACCCCCCCTCTTCTACCTCCTTACACAACTTTTCAACCATGGAGTTTCTCAGGTGACCTCTTCTGCCACCGAGTTCTGCCAAAGCACTTTTGCAGCTCACTCCAAGTACAACAAACAGCTTTCTTTTCCTGGCATTTTTTGTCCTTTATTATTTTTTACACTCCATAAAAACCATTGCAGGTTTTCTTTCACATTCACGAGATCTCCTGGAAATTATTGCCATTTCCCATACATATTACATATTAAAAAAATAAAAAGGTCAACAAAGAGCCAGCCACTCATCCCAAACTCCCTGCAGACACAGAAGCCAATATAAGCAAGAGAAACTGTTTCTCATGGACAAAGGCTGACTAGAGGTGACCACACACACTTAAGCAAGCCACGTAACACTGAACAAGACCACTTGACCACACACGTACACATCGTAAACACTTGGGAAGGGATGGAGAAAGAACTGGCTTGGAGCTGAGCTTGTCAGGTTTTTTTGGTGTAAAACCCAGCAGTTACAGTGTTATCTGATGGGAAGTAACTGTGATGAGGATTGTGGAGACATTCAAGTATTCTAGGGCTGTTCTTAAATAACAGATGGGAGGATAATAGCTCAGCAGGGTAGCCTGATAGCTTGGTTAAGTCCCCTGCTTTAGTTAAAAGCACATCCAGTACAAAGGCAAATGCAGAAGTACAGGAAATGCCACACCTGAATGGATCCATGTCTGGTTTGGTATCCAGTTACACTGTGGTCAATGGACACTTCACAGGCTGGAGCAGGAGAGGGGATTTTCACCTGGTTGTGCAACAGTGTCCCAGGAAAGGAGCTCCCTCCTGCCACCCCAGCCCTTTGCTCCCTGAAACATGACACGGGAGGGGAGGAGGAAAACCGGAGGAAAAAAGCTTAAAACATTCACTCCATCCATCTCTGCAGTTGCAAAGGTGGTGCTTTTCGGTTTGCTTTCTTCCCCACTGCTGCTGCTTATTGCTTGAAACTTTAAATAAGGTCTTTTAAAAAAAATAAGAAGGGAAGGAGATGGGAACTGAGAACATACTAAATGGATTTCTCATTGCTCCCTAGGAATCTGGAAATACAGTAGTGGGCGCACACTGTGGATAAAAACCTAAAAAAGCACTTTTTTTAAAAAAAAGGACAATAAAAGTTCAGAGAAACCTGCCACACTTAGAGCACTTGTGTCTTACAGTCACAGCATACAGGAAGTATGACCCATGACAACCACGCCATCTCAGACTAAGTTGATGAGGTTTCTCTATTGCACATTCATGAAATGTTCTTGTTGGGGTCACAGTTCAGACCAGAGGACTGTGCCAGCTCCAGTCTCTCCAGGGTGTTCAGCAGGATGAAGATGCCGTCATTGGGCCGAGTTTCAGCTGGTGGACAGGAGAGTGGATGGGCACAGAACTCAACACTGAGGTAGGAAAGGCGAAACACGAGCCTTCAAAGTTTTTGCCTAATGTCAGTTCTTCTGCAAAGAAAGATGCAGCTTCTCTTTTGCATGAGGCGACAGGGGGGCTGGGAGTGGAAGACAGGATCTCTGACTCGTATTGTAGCAACTGGCCCATGAAACCAAAGTTTGGTGAGATCAGGCTCCGGCGCTGCTTGATGTAATCGAAGGCTTCCTCCAGGCGGAGCTTCTTTGTCTTCATTAGATACGCCATACAGATGGTGGGAGAGCGTGAAATCCCTGCTTCGCAGTGCACCAGGATCTTGCCCCCCGTTCGTCTGACATAATCTAGGGGGAAAAAAGTCATTGCAGACGTCAGTCGTCATTGAGGATGGAAAGGATGATGTGACATGCACCCAGAGCTGGAGGTGGAGTATGGCACACAGCCACTCCACTGGCAAGGAGAGACTTGGTCTTCTGTTGGGTACTAAGGGTAACACAGAGATTAAAAGGGAAGGAGGACATAACTCAGCCTGAGATGGAGCTGAGCTGCAGATGACACTTTGTTTCAGAATCTGTGGATTCTGATTTGGTTCTTTTCACATTTTTTAGGAAAGTCCTTCCCAGTCTCCTTTCCACATGCCTATTTCTCTTTTGAAACAACTGACTTTTCAGAGCACTGTGAGACAGGGATCAGGTATCTTGGCAATCCTTGTGTCTGCTGTACCTGCATTTCTCTGCCTGTGGCTCGGAGTGCTGACCCAAGTCCAGCCTGGCCAGCCCTTCTGCTGTCAGGTCTTTCAAAAGCTGCAGGGCTGCCTTTCTCTCATCACCTTTGCTAGAAAAACAGGACTTTTCTTTCAAGTCTGAACCTAACTCCCTGCTTGGCTAGTAGCAGCAAGTGGTGGTACCAGGAGCTGAGCCCCTGGTGGGTACCCTTGGGTGGAGAGGCTGAGCTCATTCCCTGGGGCCTCACCACAAAACACACAAGGACTGGGAGGCAGTTGCTAATTACAGCCTGGTTAAAGGATGCTTGGGCTTAAGTCAGGATATAAAAGGCTTATGCAAAGCACCCGTTTTACACAACAGGAGCCACTGTGGTTACTCACACAACACAATGATTGTTATTAGATTAAAGAGAACATGCTTAAAATAAGCCCTTTCCACACAAAAATACAGTTCAAAAATAGACATTCTCTGCCCTGTTGCCTTGAGCAATATGTTCAAGCTCCAATTTATGGAGAACTGCGTTGAGTGTAGTGCTCAGTGCCATGCACTGAAACAACACAGAGCTGAGCAAGTTATCATTTGCCTGTCTTCGATTGTCTGCCAGGAGACCGGTGCCACCACGATCGGTTATATTTAACTACTGCACAAAATAAGGAAGACATGGATTTGAGTCATCCCCAGCATCTACACCACACGCCCAGTTTTAAAAGAAAGTGAAAACTAAGTCATCAAAATCTGGGAAATTTCCAGACTCAAGTATCAGAAGGGGTTGGGGGTGGGACAGAAGAGTGAAATAGCATTTCCCTGAAAACTGTGAGAAGTCCCTTACCAGGAAGGGGAAAGGCTCCCCTCAGATCAGGTTTTTGTAATTCTGCCTGCACTGTTGAAGGACTCAAACTCAGCTGAGCTATGAGTCCAGCGAGTCTGTTACTAGGGTTTTATCCAGTTTCCTCTTGAATGTTCCTGGAGAGCAACAGCACCGATTTCACCACCACACCCACCCAGGCTCAGGCTGCTCCACCTCACTAAACCACCCTGTGCCTCTCAGGGGTGAGCCTCTCCCTTGTGCTACCTGGCACGGTTGGTGTGCTGCTCACCTACCCAGCCTAGTGTAGGAAGATTTGGGAGGGGATGGCCCAAAGTTTTCTACAGGTCTTTTTTTTTATTGGGGTATTTGATTAAAGCATGAGATACCGGCATAATCAAAAGGAGAAATGGAAAGAGCTCTGTGGTAAGGAGAAATGCTGAATTTCTAAGACCCCGGCTTTGGGATCTCTCAGCACAGCAAGGCAATAAGCTGACTCTGCTTCACCTGGCTTTTACAGGGTCTGGCATCCAAGTCCAAGGAATCAATATGGTTTTTTCCCCTTTACAAAAATCAATAGACTTTGGTGTTATTCAACCATACGTCTTCGCTCCCTGTAATGCTGAAGTTATGCCTACACTTGCCTTGAAAAGCAAATAACGCTAACCAGCTCACTCGCCTCATCTGCCTGATGGCAGTCAAGAGGAGTCATTTTCCTTCCTCAGCCTCCCGGCTTGGAGAGGAGGAGAGACCTTGTTCTGAATGTCCCTCTTCCTTCCTTGTGAAAATTCGTCTGCCAGGAGAGGTGCTGGGGAAGGGTTAAAGCTTGAACTTTTGCTGTGACATCTAGGAACATGTAGAAAATAATGTGTCCTTCCCACTAATACATAAATGGATCTAAAATACATGAAGATCTGGAAATTTTTTAATTTGGTCCTACCAATGAAGTCAATGGCTTCCTGGAAATGCGAGCTGATGTCCGCTGTGTGACTGTCTTCCACCGGGATCCACTTGTAGCAATACTGGTCTTTGAAGGACTCCGAGCTTTTCCTGGAGACGTTGAGCAGGGCTGTGATGTGCAGGTTGGCAAGAAACTCACACTTGGAGGCGTGGTAGGCACTACCAAGGTAGAGAAAAGGCAGGATTTCAACTGGACCACCCTGGAAGAGAAGGAACAGAAACATGTAATTCCTTTTCAAGGGTATTTGAGTCCTGATTCCCGAGACAGAGACAAGGGAGCCTGCGTGGGTGCCTGCTCCCTCCCTTGCTGGCATTTCTGGACCCCAGTGCTGCCGGCCAGCGAATCACTGCAATGGCAAAGCCCACGCAGGAAAAAGGTTTTCATTTTCTTGTCCATATCTGTGAGGTACCAAGCCAGATCCAGCCCACTCGCATGCAGGGTGTTTCTGGCTTTGTTTGAAGCACTGCCCCTCAGGATGCACCCAAAGCACTTTCATATGTGAGGCCTGTTCCCTCTGAGGCTTTACTGAAATCCCCGTGAGGTGGGGAGCCACATCCAAGCAAGGAAGAAGAGGAGGATGGAGGGAGTGGCTACTCTAGCTCAGCCCCTCCACTTATACCTCCAAAGGTGAAGCAAAAAGAAAGAAAAAAGAGCAAGGCTTTCTGTATCCCCAGACCTCCCGGGGGCACAGCACCCACTGTGTCACCCGCCCCAAGATGTCATCTCGATTCCTCCTTCCTGAGTGCAAGCAAAGGCTGGGTGACGAGATTGTGAAAGAAAAAAAGCCACCATCTGACACAAGAGTGTCGGATCACAGGTAACTTTCCATGATGCACAAGAGCTGCTGCCAGCCCCCAGCTGCTAAAAACCAGCTTTCCAGCCCCCGAAGCTGCCCACCTAGAGGGTCCCACGCACTGGGGACAGCCAAGAGTCGCCGGTGGTGGAGGAACAGAGCCAGGGACAGGAGGTGCCCCCAGGGGAGCAGAGAGGCATCACACAGGGGCTTCCCCCCCGCCAGGAAACGCACGCCCCAGCGGAAGCAGCCCGACCACAGGGTGACATCAGGGTGACATCTCGGAGAAAATGTATTCCCCAGGCTGGGCAGGCATGGGGGGTGTGACGACTTCCCCTGTGGAAACCCCACTCCCCCGGCCCAAGGGCAGCTCAAGAGCCACCGACTCTTCTCAGAAATGGCCCCAGGGCCCCCCTCTGCCAGCACCCTCCTGGGATCTTGGAGGAGGCGTGGGCAAAGCATGCTCCTTCGTCTGCCAGAAAAATGACACTTCTGGCAGCATCTCCCCTGTCTGTTTTAAGTCTCCTGGAGAGGCATGAGCTGCTCGTGGCTCATGCTGCCTGGCTGTGTTATAAAGACAGGTTGCAAATACAGTTTTAGGGCTAGACAGGTTTTTTTTTTCCTTCTGCTGCCAGGTTTTGAAGCCAGGCAGAGGTGATGCTGACCAGCAGCACGCACAGGCTGCCAACCTGGACTGCGACAACTTATTGACAGCCCGTGGCAGCATGAGGGACCCCGGCACGCTGCCAGCCTCCAGCAGAGCCCAGTGGCAGGAGGGAGAAGACTCAAGGGGAAGGTCAGCTGCTCTGGCCGTGACACACACCTGGTCGTAAGCGGGTTTGTGGTTGGCACTCTGCTTCTCACAGTGGCTGGCTAGGTTTCTCTCCGCCTCCGTCCTCTCTGGGGAAATGAGTTTTCCATCCACGCAGCACTCAGGATATTGCGAGTTAAAGGTTTCATATCCTCCTAGGGAAGGGGAAAAAAGAAAAAAAGAAAAAAGATAAACATGAATGCTTGTGCTTCCAAAAACTGATTTAAAGTGGAGGAGAAATGAAGCTCAGGCACTTGCAATGTGTTGGGATAGCGACGCACGGCAACGGGCCCTGGGGGGTTACTGAGGGATAGCCCTCCCCTGGGCAAGCAGGTTTGTTTAAAAGGCTTTCGGCACCGGAAGAAAAACCTCCGATACCTCTGACAATCATTAACTTGCCAAAAGCTGGTGGATCCAGATTAAAACTGTTAGCGAATGTAATTCTGTTGAGTCTAGCAACCATTAACTCCAGTACAGCGAGGACAAAACTCCCTCTCCCAGGTTTTATATATGAGCACTATTTCCAGCGTTTGAGATGGGGATTTCTATACTCAGTAGATACCATCTCTACATCTGTTATTACTATATATGCTGTGACAACATAAGAAATGTTTTATTTGCATTTTTGAATGGACATAAGCACAAGAGGAGGATGCTTGCAACTGTGTCATTAATCACCACAAGACAGCAAGGTAATGAAGACAGTCCCACTGAAACCAATCTATTAAATAACAGCTATAAAACTTAATGAAATCCTGTGACAACAATTGACAACTGAATAGCCCCACATGAGCTATTCCGCATGGTTAAGTACTGCATTCGTTTCATTCAGTGCGCTGCTAATGAAAAGGAATTAATCCTATTATTACATTGTTACTCAAAGTTTGTCATCAGCTAAATCATTGCTTGTTTCCAGACTGGGAATATGCTGCACAGAAGAGCACACAATCTCCAAAATAAGTGTGAACAAGTCAGGTAGCAGAAGTAGCCTGGAAATGTCAGTGGCATGCCACACGTCTGCCACCTGTGCTTTTTCAGAACAAAAATGAACAAAGTCTCTCAAACAGCTAGATTCAATAATCCTTCAGTGTGAGGCCCTTGAGTAAACAAGGCTCAGAAAGCAAACCCTCTGATGTGATTCATTCACCTGCAACTGTTTTGCCCTGATAAGCGGTGTCAATGTGGGTGCCCTGGTGCAAGGAAGGGTTTCGAAACAAAGGAAGCACTGAAGATCTGAGCAGCCACAGGGCCCCCACCGCCTTCGCTGCCAGGGCTGCCTGGTACAGCTACCTCTGACATTTCAGCCCTGTAATGCCGGTGTCTCATTTGTTTGCAATGTTTGAGCAGATGTGTGCTCAAATTCATGACGTGCTACTGGCGCCCACTCATTCCTGCCGTGGGGTCCTCATGTTGCAAGCGGCTGGCATGATCCAAAGCCCACTAATGTGATGAAAGTCTGTTTTCCATGACGGAGGGCAGGAGGGTGACTTTGCAGTCAACTGGCACTCAGCACCTGCACCTTTTTTCCTGCTTCCTGGGCCCCAGCCACATTCAGCCAACCCACTCCAGAGCTTTCAGTGCAAGGCAGGTGGGTCAAGCACCCGAGTGACTGTGGAGACCACAAAGAGGGGGTTAATAAAATGATATCCACAACAACTGGCAATGTGAAAAGCCAACAAACACAAGCAGCTCTCTAGATTCCTCTGCTCTCTATCTGCCCTTCATGGGGTGGACTTTTAATCCTCTTGTTTTGCATAACTGACCTCATCTCCCCTCTGCCCCCAAACTACTGCCATCCCATAGGAAAAAATATGTCCAGTTAATATAAATAGCCATTATCCCTATTTACGCCCCATGTTGTTGTTTTTACTCTTGAATGAACACAGAAATCTGCCCCAGCCAAATCAGCGTGTGTGTTCGAACAGACAAGCATGTCTCATGTCTCTGGGGCAGCTAACACATGCAGCTGGTGAATGGTTAATTACAAGCCTTGGGGATCAGGATATTTGCAGGCCAATTCTTACAGTGAGTCATCTTCTCATCCCATCCTCCAGCAATCTCCTCTCTTTACCCTCCCCACTCAACCTAGCTTCCCTGAGGTCATTTCTGCAAATACTAGATTGCTCATCACAGACAGCTGAGCTGCGCTTCGGTTTTAATCAATAAATAATAGAATCCTTGTCAGCACCAAGGGAGGATCTGTTACTTTATCTTTCTGCAAGTTCTTCCCCTGCCACACAACTGCTCTCGCCCTACTGGGCCTGAGCTCAGAATGAAACTGCACCTACACAGATGAAAGATGTGACACTCAACCCCTAGAAGCCAGAAAGCGAGGGAAGAAACAGGGCCAGCACACAACTTGGCATGCAATTGCTCTGCAGTAACTGCCCTGCTTGGGGCTGGATCCCCAGGACGCTTGGGTGACCACCTTACCCCTTAAGTAGCCAATACCTCCTCTCAGCTCCCCCACACCTAAGGAAAATAGGAATATAACAGGGGGAAACCTCAAGGGGTTTTTTTTCCTGGTGGTTTTACAGCCCCTTATTTGCACGGTCGGTGCTATAGACTCCCAAAGGATCCTTTCTTCTGAGCAGCGCCCAGAGTGCTTCAGGATGATTTATCCCCCCACTGTTCCAGAGCTCTTCCACCGAGCTACAACAGCTTCCTGGGGGTCCGTGGCCCCAGTGAATCAGCAGCACTGCCCACTGAGTCACTGGCTCCTCGGGCCACACCAGATCTGAAATGGAGCTACAGACTTTACGGGCCCGATCCCGCAACCCCGAGCACTTCCAGTGAAGCCAAGGGGAACAGCAGCGTGAAAAGGGAGAAACTTTCTCATCCACTGAGAGGAAATCTTTCTAGCTTCAAGTCAACAGGCTCTCAAAAAAAGGCACTTTGCAATACACACAAGATACAAACAGAGCCTACATCAAAACCCCACCCCAGATAAACTGCCCACAGCCACAGTCACCACTTCAAAGCGTGGGGCTGGTACATGAAGGGGGAAGGACGATCCTGTGGCTGAACGAGCAGGCAGAACTCACAGTCAGCAGAGCTTAATTCAGCCCCTGCTTTGTCACAGTGTGACCCTGGAGATGTTTTTTCATCCCTAGTTTAATGGGGTCCCTAAGGATTTGCCTGGCCCAGCACAGTGCAAGTATCCCTGCAGAACTGGTGCTTTTGGGGCGACTGTCAGACCGGCGGTGCCCGGACGGAGCCAGGGTGGTGGCAAACCGCCCTGGGAGTCTCCCTCCCGCTCGGTCCCGGGCAACACGCGGGCTGGAGGTGCCTCTGTCCCGGCGGGGATGCCCTCCGGGCGCTGCTCGTTATAGGAGGCACAAACTAGGCACATCAGGACACGTATCAGTGTGATAAAAGGCTTAATAAAAGCGCACTAACCCTGGCCGGTGAGGACACAGGGGCAGAGTTTATTCAAGAAACATGGCCTGGTTTGCCCCTCTATTTATGACCACCCCATGGCCTCAGGATATGGCAAGGGGCTTGTTTGGGAACTCCTGCTTCGGCGTGGCCCCGGCAGCCGGGTATGCGGTCTATGGGCGGGAGCGTCCCCGGCCGGCCAGTCCCCGGAGGGAGGGAGGGGGCTGAGAAAACAGAGAGGACAAAAGGACAAAGGCACTGCTAGGAGAAGTGCAGGGTAGGCAGGGGTGGGAGGACAGAGAAAGGGCGGGCTGATTATTTTCTTTTTTATCGTTTTATTATCCCCGGGTTACACAGAAGGAAAACAAAGAACTGCAATCAAAGGGCTGTAACACACGTGGGGGGAGGAGGCATTTCTGTCCCCTGACAAGCCCTGGAGTTTCGGCTATGGGTTTCCCCTGCCAGCCCCGATATGTCTGATGGAGAGATAAGCCTCTCCGCCCCGGGTGGAGGAGCGGGCACCGACCTCCGGGTTTCGGGCGCCCAACAAAAACCGCCCAGTGTCACCGGATGGAGAGCGGA